GGTCAGGACACAGATAAACTTCAAGGCATTCAGGTTCAATCACAAAGGGGGGCTCAGCATCTAGCTTAGGAAAGCGTTGCTCAGGCAGCATGCCATTCACTGCACTGGGTTTAAATAGATACAGGAAGAGGGGGGATCCACAGGATTGGCCACAAGTAGACTGCACTAATTGGCCGAGAAGCTGCATAAGAAACAGCAGGAGAGGTCGGCCAATGCCTTAAGCTGCCAGACTGGTGCAAGAGTGGGTCAGGTTCAAAGTACATGCCTGGAGGACTACAAGCACAGCCCTGCTTGCCTGCAGAACCAGGGGTGAGGGGTCTGTAAATACTTGTAGAACTACAAGTAACAGCTCAGCTGCAAGTCTGCAGCTCAACTGTGACAAGTGTCCTTATCCAAAAAAGATACCACTGCCCTCTTCCACAAACTCTATTGAAACAAATATACCACATACAACTATACATAACATTTCTGAGTATATCTAAACTTTTCCAAAGTTTTCTCCAAACAACTAGTCGATGACATCACCCCGGGAGATCCATGAAAGTTCAACTCCTTCAGGACTGATTAACGAGTTCCAAGAATGTTACTGTAATGAATGTTTCTGTTCTCCGAGGACCCGCGTCATGCTTTTCTCAAAGCTGCAGAAACTCGAAATGTCCCTAAGTGATGATTGCAACGTTGGGCGTATTATGATAAAAAGTGGACAGAAGAGACAATGAAGGGACATCACATATATATAAAGGAGGACAGATACATCTACAGGAGAACAAAGCGTTGTATCTCCAATGCAGACCAAGTAAGAGTTTATCACGGTGTAGCCATAAAATCAAACCGTTGTATTCTTTGTGCCTCAGACTTTTACATTGTTACAAATCCTTCGAGTTCTGACTTTGCTTTCCCTTTGTTCTTTATTTCAGCATTTATAACAGATACTTCACCAGTTCACATTATATCATTATTTATTTATTACTGGCATACAGTCATGGCCAAAAATAATGGCACCCCGGCAATTTCTGTCAGATAACGCACCACTTCGCGCAGAAAATTGTTGCAATTACAAATGTTTCGTCATTCTCATGTTTATTTCTTTTGTTTGCATTGGTATGACACAAAAACGTGGAGGGAAAAAAAAGCCAAATGTGACACATTCCACGCAAAACTCCAAAAATAGACTGGACAAAAATGATTGGCACCCTCACTTAATATTTGGTAGCCCAGCCCTTGGAAAAAATAACAAATCAAATGGCTTCCTGTGACCATCAATGAGGTTCTTACACCTCTCTACAGGAGTTTTGGAGCACTCTTCTTTTGTCATCTGCTCTCAGGTCTCTCAGATTGGGAGGGTTCCTTTTCCCAACTGCAGTCTTGAGATCCCCCCACAGGTGCTCTATGGGGTTCAGATCTGGACTCATTGCTGGCCAGTCCAGTACTCTCCAGTGCTTTGTCTGAAACCATTTCTGGGTGTTTTTTCAAGGGTGCTTTGGGTCATTGTCCTGCTGTAAGACCCATGACCTCTGACGGAGACCCAACTTTCTGACACAGGGCCCTACACTGCACCCCAGAATTCTTTGGTAGTCTTCAGATTTCATAATGCCATGCACACAGTCCAGACATCCAGCACCTGAAGCAGCAAAGCAACCCCAATATGCCAGTGAACCCCCACCATGTGTGACTGTAGGGACTGTACTTTTTTCTTTAAAGTGATATTAAAGCCACATTTTTTTAACTTTCTCTTTAAGGAGACCCTCCTTTGCTGGAGGATGTTGCGTTTTTTCTTTAAAATTACTTCTTTCCTCGTTTTCTAGTGGGTCCCCGCCATGCTGTTCCCCCTGCCCCCTGCACGAGTGCCACCATCGTTCTAATGGAGGCACCCGTGCGCGTTCGTGCCCTGTAGCAGGCCACGCCCCTTCCCTCTATGATTGATGGCAGAACAAGCCTATCCAGTGTGGGGGGGGGACTGGGGGAGAAAAAAAAGGTGCTGGGCTGTTTTTACCCTAATGCAGAGAATGCATTAAGTTAAAAAAAAACGCCCAGACCTTAATGCTACTTTAAAGTTTAAAGGCCTCATTTCTTTTTCTGAGAACAGTAGAATGATGGGCTGCACCAAAAAGCTGTCATTTTGTTTTGTCATATTAATACAAACAAAAGAAATAAACATGAGAATGCCGAAACATTTGTAATTGCAACAATTTTCCAAGCGAAGTGGTGCGTTATCTGACAGAAATCCAGGGGTGCCAATATTTTTGGCCATGACTGTATATATATTATATATTTATATACCGCCAACAATTTACATACTGCACATTCCCATCGGTCGCTGCCCTCAATCATAATAAATAAACACAACAAGGGAGATTCATCATATTTGCCATACAGCCGTGCGAAACAGCAGCAAGGATGTATTTTCTGAGACAGCTTTACTGTAAGTTCCTGGCTTGGTTGATTCATGAAGTCTTCCTGATGGCTGCTTTGAAGCAAATCTCCAGCCAGTAATAGATAATATAACAAAGCCAGCATTGGCTGCAATATTCAACTTCAAACCAGAGATCCCCCCCGCCCCCGCAGTACTTTTATCTGCCACTAGGTGTCCTCAGTCTGATTGCCAGCATCATTTAACTCACTTCCTCTGAGTCCAGGTCTTCCTGAACCCATCTTAGCCTGTAACTCAGGGGTGGGGAACCTCCGGCCCTCCGGCTGCGGTGAAACTACAAATCCCATGATGCATCTGTCTATGGGAGCCATGCCTGGGGCTGCGAGAATCTTGCAATGCCTGATCGGATTTGTAGTTTCACCTCAGGAGGTTCCCCAGCCCTGCTGTAACTGGACACTAAAAGGAGAAGCAGCGCAGTGATGAGATCATTTCACTCTGTTCCATCCTCCTACCAGCATACTTCTTGTCAGCTGCATTTTCCTCTGACACTGCAGCCCTGCTGCTGCACATGGAGGCTGTTAAGAAACATGGAGCAGCTCTAACCTCTCCTTCCCAATCCCGCTGCTGGAACCTCGGTGCCTGGTAAAGCCTCCTGCCGGAGCCTTTACTAAGCAATATGTAAAAACTGGCACAGGTTCCGATATGTTGCCACGCATGGTGAAGGATTTCGTTTTGAAGAAAGTGCTGCTGATCATTTATTCTGCAAGACTTTAGGGAAGGTCCCGTGGTATTTCTGCTTTTTTAATACTGACCTTTTTGCAGATGTCTTCAGACCAGTCTGCAGATGTCTTCAGACCAGTCATGTGACGCTCATGGTCCTCTTCAGATCTTCTCCAGCGGCAGGTGGTCTTCAATAATGCAGAAAAAGGTGCTGATATGATGACCTCAGCACCGCTCTCTGCATCATTACATTGTGAGTGCAGGGCGCCGTAGTGGTTTCTCCACATGGGGCAGGTCCATGACGCCCTGCACTCACATGATGTGCTCAGTCTTCCAGGTGAAGAATGCTGGGTGTCATATAACTCGGAAGACTGAGGACATCTAGTGGCAGAAATAAATCACTGCGGGGACAGCGCTGGAGAGGAGGTGAGCATTGGTGGAGCTCCTTTTTGTAGTTTATTCACCTGCCGGGGGGCTATTTAGAAAAATAATTGCCCAGAGTCGGCTGTCAATGTGTGATACATTAAAACAAAGTCTAGCTAATCTTTATAGATTCCTAAGTCACAGATTTTGTTACAGTCTTATTGGTTTTTTTTAACATGTTTATCTGTTTCAGAAAGATGTATGCTGTTAGAAGTAAGTGACCCTGAAAGATGCCTGAACAAAGATGCCACCGTCCTTCTGGAGAGAAGAGTAGATGAAGACATTGTCAATGGGAGTACTGCGCTCTCCCTGAGAGGTAATAAATACCTGGAGGTGTTACACTGACACATATACTGAGCCACCTTCCCCCACATCAACATGCATCCCAGACTGGGACCCCTGTAATCGTGTCCGCACGTTGCCAAGCGTCATCACATGACCTCAGTCCCACTTTAACATTTTGTTCCTCTTCCTGTTCCATAGAGACGTATGCCAATTAAAGCCTACCACTTCGTGGCTGAGTTGCTGTTGTTCCCAGTTGCTTCCACTTTGTTATAATACAACTTACAGGTGACCGCTGAATATTTAGTAGCAAGGAAATGTCACGGAACACCTGAATCCAATGATTTGGAGGGCAGTCCCAATACTTTTGACAATATAGTGTATATGCAATGCACCCGCCTCACACTCTGCCTCATTGTTCCGTACATTGGTACGGTGACTCAGTAGCTGTTTACTGCCATCTGGTGGACATTTAGCAGTACACTCGTGTATCGTAGAACTTGTCACAATAGGGTTTTGATTACTTTTTAATCCTTGTTCTATACAGATGTATGTCAATCAAAGTACGCCGTCTGGATTCAGAATTCTGGGATTTCCTGGACCTCCCAGCATGCAATACATTTTCTTCCTCCTCCTGCTGATAACATACCTATTAACTCTCCTGAGCAACTCTGTGATCATAACTATTACTCTGCGAGAGAGCCGCCTGCACACCCCCATGTACTATTACCTGCGCAATCTCTCTTTTCTGGAAATCTGTTACGTCTCTGTGACTGTCCCCAAAATCCTCAGCACCCTCAACCCACGCGGGAGATACATTTCATTCTACGGCTGCATGGCTCAGTTCCTTGTGTTCTTTTCTTTGGGGTCCACCGAATGCCTCCTGTTCGGCATTATGGCCTACGACCGCTACCTGGCCATCTGCAAACCACTACATTACACAACCTTGATGAGTACGACCATGTGCCGCGGTCTTAGCATGTGCGCGGTCATTGGCGGCTTCCTAACCACTTCCCCCCAAATATTCTTACTCTTCCGACTTCCATTCTGCGGTAGCGACATCAACCATTTCTTTTGTGACGCCCCGCCGCTGTTGCAGTTGTGTTGCGGAGATACTTATGTTATTAATTTGATGGACTTCTTTAATGCTTCCTTAGTGATACTGACTTCATTAACAGTGACTCTGACTTCCTATGTGTATATCATTGGCACGATCATTAGGATACAGACTACCACCGGTCGAAGGAAAACCTTCTCTACCTGTTTCTCCCATTTAATTGTCGTATCGGTTTATTACAGCTCCATTACGTTCATGTATATGAGGCCGAAGCTGAGCAGTTCTTTTAGCCTAAACCGGGTTTTGGGAGTTTTTTACACAGTGATAACGCCGGTTCTTAACCCTTTAATTTATTGTTTAAGAAATACAGAGGTGAAAGAAGCCATTAGAAATCAACTCTTCAAGCAAACCTCAAAGAAAGTGTTACAAGAAAACTACAAATGAATTCATACATAGTAAGAAAAAGGTCTGAAACTTCCTGATTTCTCTGGTGAATCTGCCACTGACCTGGAAGTACATAGAGCCGAGCCCAGGTCTGAGGGCTAGCATATGGTGATTCTCAACCCTTACAGCATAGGCGGGTTCTAGTGATGAGCCTGGGCTTGGTGCCAACCCAATTCACTCAATCCTGCTCTAAACTATGACCACAACCCCCCCCCCTTTCTTGGCCAGTTGTGGCAGGGGCATTTCCCCACCCCTTTGTGACCTGTAGGCTGCCACTGTTTGGGGCAGGAGGGGGTATCAATTACAATTTTCAGAAGGCTTGGGTCAACTCAGACAAACTGGTTCACACCAAACACATGCTCATCATTAGTGAGTTCTAGCCCTGATCAACTTCTCAGAGGACGTGAGTCAGAATCCTTTTCTCTGTGTGGTATATATCTCTTAGAATGTAACTCCTCAGGGGCAGGGCCCTCCTTACCATCTTGTCTTGAATTGTATTGTAATTATAATGTCTTCCTTATATTGTAAAACTGTTGGCGCTATATAAATCCTGTATAATAATAATAATAATAAATGGATATTGTGCTATTCTGCATTTGGAAAGCACATGTGATCCAACCTTTCCAGAGTTTTACATTGCAATGCTGACAAGTCTCCAGCACACACAGTGCTAACTCAGTAGAAGTTAACTCAGTGCCCTGGTAGAAACACAATTTTATCATCATTGTCCACATGTCCACCTCGCATTGTTCCCTCATCAATGTCCACAAGCTTAAACGCTCTTCATACCCCTGTGATGTTCCTCTTTGCCTGCACCCCCTACATTGTCTGCAGTAGCAAACTATGGATTCTAGCTCCCCCCCCATCCTCTCCTCTCTAGATTCTCTGGTAGCTCCCCTCCTCCCATTCACACTATGTTCCCTGGCCATCCCTTGCCTACCATCCCTCCTCTGGGAGCTCCTTTCCTCCCATCAACCCCACCCCATCCACTATAATCTCTCACTGCTCTCCCCCTATGGTCCACACTACAGTCTCTGATATGTTTAACCCCTCTGTCAACATTTACATCCTTTGGCAGCTGCCAACTTCCCCATCTTACCCCTTACACACACACTCTATGTATTCTAGTATTCCCCCATCCACTATAGGTTCTCCTGCATCTCCCCTACTCCCATCCACACTCTGTTCTCTGATAGTTCTTCCCCTACCTTGGGTATATGGGTAGCAAAAAATGGTTACAATATGCGGTTAACAAATGGGCAATCATTACAGTATGTGGGCAGCAAATGGGCAGTTGTTGCAATAAATGAACAATGAACGGGCAGTTGTTACAGTACATGGGCAATAAAATGCAGCCCCCCC